TCCAAAAAAAAAAAAAAAAAATTAAAAAAGAGGGAAGTTATATGTAATCCAATGTAATATAAAGAAGATTATGATAAAAAAAAAAAAAGATTTAATGCCATTTTCCCTGTTAAAAAAAAAAAAAAAAAAAAAAGATCTCAGTAGGAGGATCCGGAATTTTTGTACAGGCCACGGGAACCTGAACACATCATCAGCTGTTTTCTTTAGATCGCAGAAGTGAGGAGCAGCACAAGAGGACAGAAAGTCCTGTATGTTACAGGTGTGTGACAACCTGGTAAAGATCCTGGCTGTGGGAGAGGCCGGGCTTTAAACAGGAATGTCCGGCTTCTCTGAATGTGGTATATGTTCAGACCGTTCACATTCCAGTGTGGGGACCAGCAGATGGCGTAATGGTTACTGCGCTGGACTCCCTCATAGCCAACCGTGATTCGAGTCCTGCTCCTCTCGGGGTTTTCGGTACACACACATGCGCCTGATGTGATTTTTAAGCTAAGTCAAGGACTCAAACGACAGTTGACCATGTGGGAGTCCAGTGCCTTAACTACCATGCCACCTGCTGGCCCAAAAGCTTTCTCATGTAATCCCTGACTCAGTGAGGTTGGGAGGGCTTCAAAAACACAGTGACAGAACGTGAGCCACTGAGCTCTGCCGAGAGTGTCCGCAGTCCTTCTGAGTGCTGTATTAGAGAGGGGAAATGTTCCGATGAAGGGTGCCTAGACTTACATCACAGAAAGTGTGAACCAGAGCTGGCTGCGTGGTTGAGGAGTATTCCACATGGTTGACAGCATGGTTCGATTCCCAGCCCTGGTGGCTTGGAAGAACATGTCGTGTGTGTCCCAAATCCTGACAGGATGGAGAAACGGAAGGGAAGGGATTGCAGTGTGACTTCCTTCCAATGGGGATGGCTTTCTCCCCTCCTTCCAACACCTCTCTCTCTCTCTCTCTCTCGCACGCCTGTCTACCCCTCACTTCCTTGGACTCCCTTCCCCTCTCTCTTATGGAAGGAAGGAAAATAAATAAACTTGAAAACAGAAAGAAAACAGAAATTCTCAACCTGGTGATACATCACCATCAAGAACGTAGCGTATCTACATGAACTAAGAGGAAAAGAGTTAAAATGTATTAAAAGAAGTTCCGGGCTACCCAGTGGCCTGGTGGTTAAAGGGCTGGATCCAACACGGCCGACTGTATGGCTTAAAAAACCCTGGGCATGTGTGTGCGCGAGGGAGAAGAGAACGTGGCGTGGCTACCCCAGGGAGTGCTTTCTCACCCACCCCTCTCTCTCCATCTCTCTCTAGCACGTGTGTCCTGAGCAAAATTAAATATATACATATATCTTTTTTTTTAAAGAATTATTTTACTTAACTTTATTTATTATTATCATTGTTATTTTCCAGTTTGATCAGAGAGAGACATAGAGAGAGAGGAAGTGAGAAAGCAAGCCACCAGGTCCGAGACTTGAACCATGGTCGGCCATGTGGGAGTCCAGCGCCCTTAACCACCACGCCACTTGCCAGCCCTATACATATATCTTTTAAGCTGTAAAGGAGTGTGAGCACCGTGACCGCCTGGGGCCCTCATCCTCCCTCTGTGCCCTTCGCTGTTCCTGTTAGTGCCCCCACAATGTGCTCATCATCGGTCTGGTCACAACTACTGTGAGAGGACTTGAACGAGTTCATGAAAGGTGGAAGTAGAGTAGGAATGTGTTTTGGTACAAAGATTTTAAAGCCCATGCAGTGTTGCTTCATGGCAGGCACTTTCCGGAAACTTTCTGAAGAACCCCCTAGTACACACATCCCTCAAACGCGTGAGTAGGTAGCATGTATCCGCATCCCTGGAAGTTCAGAAAGGCCTCCCCTTCTCCCTGACTCCATCTCTGCCCTGACACACAAACGGTTGTCAATGCATTTTTCAAAATACAAAGACTCCCAAGACCACACAGCTTAACAGAATGACAAGACACAGATCCCCAAATATTCTGGAAGCATATGTGTAAGCCACACTCACCTTCATGGGGTTTTCGTCATATGTTGGGGTTCCCAAGTCCATCTCCGCTTCATGCTCAAGGCTGGCTTCGTCTCCTGGGCTTTCCCAAGTCGGGGGATCCCACTGAGTCTGCCTAGAAGGAGGTAAGAACAGCCATGCTGTCACAGCTACAAGGCAAAGAACCCTGGCATCGACATCTCTGTTCATACATAGAAGGAGACTTTTAAAGTTTGTGGAAAAAATGGAATTAAAGCATTTTATTTTTGTGCAAGAAAACTTTTTGAAATAACATGCATTTTATCTTTTTTAAAAGAGTTATATTAAATCTATTTATTTATTTGTTTATTTTCATTTAACCAGAGAGAGAAAGAGAGTGAGAAAACAAGCTGCCAGGTCCAGGACTTGAACCATGGTTGGCCATTTGGGGGTCCAGTGCCTTTACTGCCATGTTACCTGCTGGTCTCGTTAACACACATTTTCTATGAACCTTTTGAAGGCCCCCTCATATATAAATACATGTAATGAGACATACAGTAAGTTGTAGTTTGCCAGAGGGCATGTGCATTTACTAGAGAAACAGAGAGCTGGGGAGCAGCTCCCGACCCATGAGGGGGAACCTCCAACGGGGCATGGTCGCACCATAAAGCCTTCCTCTCCCATTTCTCTCTCGTTTTGGGATTTGGGGCACACATACACGTGCACCCAGCACACTTTTCAAGCTCCCAAGGTCATGATTTGAAGTGTATGGTTGGTCATGTGTGATCTGGTTCCCTTCACCCCTGGGCAGGCCCCCGAAATAACAGAGCTCTATATTGACAGGAAAAGCTGTTTACAATAGGTAATAAAGCAGACTGTAAAATACCCTCACAATTTACGTACGACTGTGTACTGATGAGTACACACATGTGCATACACACATGGAGAGCACAAATATTCACATGAAATTATCTAAGAAAGCATTTTTTTAAAAAAAAATTTAACAATCACCAGTCAGATGGTGGCATAGTGACTGAGACCGCTGGATCCTACGTGTTCAACCTCATGATTCGAGTCCTGGACCTGGAAGCTTGAGGAACACACTGAGCACGTGTTTGTCCAATATTCCAAAAAGAGAGAGGAATGGAGAAGGGACTGCGTGTGACCACGCCCATAGGGGTGCTTTCTCCTCTCCCTCTCTCTCTGGTGAGCAGATATGCCTTCTGGAGAAAAAAAAAAAAAAAAAGGTAATTCTTCTTTCTTTCTCTCTTTGGAGAGGTTTTTACTATCGGGCGCATGCGCTCACCAGAAAGACAGAGAGACAGCGAGACAAAAAGCAAGAAATCACCCACCAATCACATCTCCTCCATTCTCCTCTTGGGATCTTGGGCACGCACGCACACGCGCCCGGCGTGAGTTTAAGCCACCGGGTCCAGGACTCAAACTGCGGTCGACTACACGGGAGTTCAGCGACATAGTCATTATGCTAACTGCTGGCCCCCTTTCTTTCTTTTCAATTTGCAGAGATAGAGGTCTATGTGCTTGCCAGAGAAAGGAGGGAGAGAGAGAAAGAAGTACCTCCAGGTTGATGGCCATGCTGCAATTTCTTCTCCTCCAGCTTGCCTTTTGGAATTTTGGGCATGTATGCACACACACCTGGCATGCCTCCAAGCCGCCAGATCCAGAACAGAACCACATGGCTGGCAATGTGGGATCCAGCTGCCTCAACCTCTACACCAGCAGCTAACCCAATAAATTAGTATTTTATGTGTAGCAGTTGTTGTCAAACCACGGCCCATGGACCACATCTACCTAGCCTGCTGCCTGCCTCTATAAACGGTCTCACTGGAACACAGACATACCCACCCCACAGTCTATGGTCACTTACGGGACAGCGGCAGAGCTCAGTAGCTCTCGAGTGGAGACTGCCTGGCCAGCAAAATTAGAAATACTTATTTTCTGGCCTTTTATAAAAAAAAGTTTTACCATGATCTTTGATATCTACAATGACAGAAGAAGTTACTACCATTTTTAAAAACTTTCTTAATGACGGGTCCAGCAATTGGCGTAATGGCTATGTCATTGGACTCTCATGTCGTTGACCGCGGTTCAAGTCCCGGTGGCTTAAACTCACGTCTGGCACGTGTGCGTGCGTGCCCAAGATCCCGAAAGGAGAATGGAGGAGAAGGGATTGTGGCATGGCCATCCCCCCTGGGGGGTGATTTCTCACTTTCTGTCTCTCTCTGTCTTTCTGGTCAGCGCACGTGCCCTATAGCAAAAACCTCTCTGAAAAACAAAACAAAACAAAAAAACTTTCTTAGTGGGCTGGGAAGTGGCATAATAGTTGAGGGTGCTGGATTCCTCAGCTATGGCCAAATGAGGTTCGAGTCCCAGAACTGGAGGCTTGCTTTCTCACTCCCCGCCCCACCCCCGGTCAAATTTAAATAAATAAGTTAAATAAAATGATTTTTTTTCAAATAAAACTCTCTTAGTTTTCTCTTTCAAATTAAAAGTACACCAAAATAGATCTAAAAAGGACCAAAAATCTGACGCTTGACACACTGTTAAGTTATGACTCTGGAAGCCCAGCGGCCCTCTAAGCACGGTGGAGAGCTAAGGCAAGAAGCTGCTGCGTGTAAAGCCCCCGCGGGTGGCACCTCCCTCTAGCACGTGAAAGCACACTTGGGGTCCCCACACTGCCCCCTTACCTGGTGATCACATGGTAATAGTAGATCTTCCCCTCCGGGTCTCGGGCTGTCTTCCAGTTGGGAGGTAAGACTATGGTTTTGGGTTTGGGAGGAGAGGGGGGTGGCAGGTCCAGGAGGTTATTTGTCACAACCATTTCAGGCTGGAAAGAAGAGACACAGGCTTCTGATTAGCGACATCTCCTTAAACATGGCCAAAAGCACAAATGGCCCACTTTACACAGTATGCTACAATACAGCTATTTCTTCTTTTAGAAAAGAGAAAAGTACAATCTGGGAAGGGATTAAAGAGACAGACAAAATACAAAGAACTTTAGGGATCCATCAGAAAACTGGTTCCCAGTTCACCATCTAAGACATCACATTAAAAAAAAATAAAGATATATTTTATTTAATTTTAGTCATTGTCATTATTTTATTTTATTTTTTTGAAGTTGACCAGAGAGAGACAGAGAAAGAGAAGGAAAGTGAGAAAGAAAGCTGCCAGACCTGAGACCTGAACCGTGGTTAGCTATGTGGGAGTCCGCTGCCTTAACCACCACACCACCTGCCGGCCCCCTAAGACATCACATTTTAAAATATTCAGTCATCAAAGGCTAAATAGCATATAACAACTTCAATTAGCTTACAAAGTTTTAGATGTGCCTCTTTTTATTCCCAATGACCCAAAAAGCAAATATGACAGGTCATTAACAATTTTTTAAATCATTATTTTATTTAACTTTATTTATTTTAATTTGACCAGATAAGGTGGGGGGAGAGAGAAAATTGAAAAAGGAGCCGGCCAGGTTCGAGACGCGATTGGTGGTTGGCCATGTGGGAGCCCAGCGCCTTTAACCATCACACCACCTGCCGGCCCCAAGAACATTAACATTTTATCCAGTAAGGTTTTTTTGGTACTTTTCTGTGGTTTGAAACCTCCAAATTATATATATTTTTAATTGTAATGCCAGGGCCAGCAGGTGGTGTGGTGGTTAAGGGCACTGGATTCCCACATGGCCGACTTTGGTTCAAGTCCTAGACCTGGCAGCTTGCCTTCTGGCTTTTCCTCTCTGATCAAATAAATAAATAAAGTTAAATAAAATAATCCTTAAAAAAATTATAGTACCACATTTTGAAAATCATAAAGACCTCGTATTATTGTTACGGACTTAAACGTGTCTTCCCAAAATTTACATGCTGAAGCCCTAACCCGACTGTGACTCACCGGAGAAGGCCCTAATAGAGGTCGTCAAAGAGGTCATGAAGGGGGAGGACCTGTCGTTCTAGTGTCCATACAGCTAAGAAAAGGAAGTGACACCAGAGGAGCTCACAGAGGACGTGCCATGTGAGGACACAGCAGGAAGGCAGCCATCTATGAGCCAGGAGAGAGTTATCAGAGGAGCCAGCCCTGATGACATTCTGATCTGGGCTTCCAGCCGCTCAACTGCAGGGGAATTAAGCTCTGTTGTTGGAGCTTCAAAGTGTTCAGTATAGCAGCGTTCGCCACAGCACCCCGGCAGACGGCGCAGTCCCCGTGAGGGTACTCGGTACTCTGTCACAGCACCCCGGCAGACGGCGCAGTCCCCGTGAGGATATATACCCTTACTTGTTCCTTCCATGGAAGTCAATACATGAAAAATCTTTTTTTTGGCCTTTCCTCTGCTCGACCCCAGGTGCTCACTGTAGCAAACATGGGTAGGAGCAGACTCGTATCCCTACTTCATCCGCTGGGCTCTCCCGGCCCACTTTAGCCTTTGCTTCTCTCATGTCCACAGCCCTCTTACCAGCCTTTACTGACCGCTTCTCTCTAAACCTCGGCGTCGTGACAGGGCACTCCAAGTCATTCAGTACTTACTAAATTACTAATTCTGCAAACCCTGAACCCTCCTCAAACCTTGAACCCCACTAGACGCTGAGGACTTTGAGCATTATACATCGTGACTGTCATCTGTCTCCTGGAATGTCAGCTCGTAACAGCAGAGACGTTCATATTCAAATGCCTAGAAGTGCCCCACTCGTAGGAGGCGCTCGAGTATTTGCTGTGAGCATGCACTGTCGTGTTCCCAACTTTTCTCATGCAGGATTCTTACTCCAACCACCCTGCCCAAAGTCACCGTACATCGCCAGGTAGCTGCAGGAGTCTCTTCCAGAACTGTCCATGTCCCCAATCGCTAATCTGACTGGTTATTCTCTGTTTAGTCTTTCAACTGCTTTCTGTGGCAGCCTCTTATTTCCCATTTTATCCCAAACAGGAACCCTTCATCAGACCTCACCACATCTCTTACACGTGTGGGGTGTCCCTCACTATTACATGTACTGCACACGTAGAAGTGAGTACGTCACCTCCCACGGTGAGCAGTACGCCATGACACTGTAGTACTCAGTGTGTTCTAACAGCTACTACAGAGACTTACTACTCAGGGACCTGTAGATGGTGTAACGGTTACAGGTACTGCACACGTAGAAGTGAGTACGTCACCTCCCACGGTGAGCAGTATGACATCACACTGTAGTACTCAGTGTGTTCTAACAGCTAGTACAGGGACCTGTAGATAGTGTACCGGTTACATCACTGGACACCAGATAGTTGACTATGGTTTGAGTCTCAGACTTGGCAGCTAAAAACTCATGCCAAGTGGCTAAGAGGTGGTATGGTGGACTCCCACATGGCCAATAGTGGTTCGAGTCCCATACTTGACAGCTTGCTTTCTCCCACCCCTGCCACGGGTCAAATATAAATAAATAAATAAATAAATTTAAATAAAGTAATTCTTTTTTTTTCAGAGAGGTTTTTTTGTTGTAGGGCTCGTGCGCTTGCCAGAAAGACTGAGAGAGACAGAGAGACAGAAAGTGAGAAATCACCCCTCAGGGGGGATGGTCACGCGGCAATCCCTTCTCCTCCATTTTCCTCTCGGGATCTTGGGCATGCACGCACACACGCCCAGGGTGAGTTTAAGTCACTGGGTCCAGGACTTGAACCACGGTCGACTACGTGGGAGTTCAGTGACATAGCCATTACACTAACTACTGGTCCCAATAAAGTAATTCTTAAAAATGAAATAAAACTCATGACAGGTGCCTGAGTAAGCACACCCAAAATCTCTAGAGGAGAATGGAGGAGAAGGGACTGCAGCGTGGCCATCCACCTGGGGGGTGACTTCTTTCTGTCTCTGTTTCTCCTGCTAGTGTACGTGCCCTATCACAAAAATCTCTCTCTAAAAAAGAACGTTATTACATAGAGAATTCATAATTAAGTATAAAAATACAAGACTAATCAGGGGTAATTAACAAATAAAAAGGATCCTAGGAGAAAGAGATGTCAATAAATATAACTACATTCCATAGGATGAAAATATTTGGGGGGGGCGGCAGGTGGCATGGTGGTTAAAGGTGCTGGGTTTCCACCTGGCCAACTAAGGTTTGAGTCCTGGATCTGGTGGCTTGCTTTCTTGCTTTCCCTTTCTCTCTCTCTCTGGTCACATTTTTAAAAATAATAACAAGTAAAATTAAATAAACAAATAATTCTTTAAAAAAATTTTTTTGGGAGAATGATTGACCGCATGACTTTAGAATACTCAAGTAAAATCGGTAACTGTATAAATTGAAGGACAAAGAACAGAATGAGGAAAAAAAAAGAAAAAGAGAAAGAAAACCTTTTAAAGAGAAGTTAGACGGCCAAGGAGAGCTTAAGAAGAGAATGGTTTCTTACCGCCTGTAAGGGCTGAGGCTGCCCGGGGGCAACGATCGCAGCTGGCTGCACGGCCACTCCCTGCGGGTGGGCGGGGTAAATCTGCTGCCCCTGGATGTACTGGAGACTCGGCTGGGCGTAGCTCTAGAAGACACGATGAAGACACCTGTAACTTCCACCCTCTTTACTCTGGTACAGGGACTAATTTCCAAACTTGCACTCTTACCGGAAGATATGCCCACAACATCTTTTTTTAATCCTAGATATATTTCAACCATATTTTGAGTCCTGAACCCGATGGCTTGCTTTCTCACTTTCCCTCTCTTTCTCTGTATCTCTCTCTGGTCAAATTAAAATGAATGAATGAATGAATGAATAAAATTAAACAATTGTTTAAAAAAGAATGAAAACCCAATGGGTGGAGAAATAGAATAGAAAGGACTGTGGTATAACCGCCCTCACTGAGGGGAACTTTCTGCCTCTCTATTTCTCTCTGGTGAGTGCATGTACTCTTTACTGATTAAAAAACAAAACTTAAACATACAAGTATTCACTCTGAAATATGAGAAAGACACTTATGTTAACACCGCATTATTTTTACTGTACGTTGTGATAGTCAAACCTGTCCTGATACTCACGACCTCTTTGGTAGTCTCTCTTCCCTCCTGTGTGACCAAACTATAGCCGAAGTGGCAACTGCACCATCTCCGAGGTTGTTATAAAAGGCTGTTGTGAACAGCCCTACTGAGAAGCCCAGGGGCAAAGAACTGAGGCCACTGAGCTGGAAAATGAGCCTCCGTCCCCCTCTAGCCTCAGGTGATTGCAGCCCAGTGAGCAGCTTCACTGGGACTTCATGGGAAATCCTGAGCCAGAACCGTCCAGCTAAGCTGCTTCAGAACCCTGACTCCTGGGAACTGAGAATTACTTACTGCCTCAAGCAGGACGGGTAATATCAACATATTAAATAGATAACAGATCTATATAAAATCCATCAATAAATACAAGTGATCAACGGCAAGACTTACCCTCCTTGCATCAGATTTAATTAACAACAAGACAGAAAGAAAACTTCCGGAATTAGTTACCTGTACAATTGGTGGAGTTGTCTGTGAGTAAGGTGATGTCACACCATAGACAGTTGGACACGTCTGTCCTTGATAATATATGGTTGCTTGAGACTGTGCAGGGGAGTACTGCTGCTGTACACTGACCGACTGTTGGTTTGAATCCCAGACACCGTAATTCTGTCCCTGGACTGGACCTGGGGCCGGCACCGGCAAGACGGCAACGCTGGAGTCCTGATGGACCACACCATCACTCTGGGCTACGTACTGTGAGCTAGAAACTTCCACAGGGGCTGCCACGTGTGGTACCACTGGCACTGGTGGAGGTGCAGCAAGGGGGACAGCAGAATGTCCGACCAAGGGCTGAGCATGGTCGTAGGGAACAGGAGAACACACCGGGTCCATGCTGGGTGTGGGCAGAAGCACCTTTCCAGCATTCGGGTTGCTGGGGTCCACATAGGCCTGCATTGGGTACCCTGGCGGATAGCCGACAAAGGGGTGATGAGGGGCATTATAGCCAAGAGAGTCATAGGGCAGTGGTGACGTCATCCCCAGGTTCTGCATCTGCTGCTGTTTCTGAGCCTCCCTCTGAGCCACCTCTTGCTCAAACAACTTCCGCCGCTCCTCTGTGGAGAGTTTATTACGGTCTTTAATTCGTACTTTCTTTTTAGAAGTAGGTGTATCATATCTACATAGGAAACAATAAGAGAACCATAAAACATTTCTCCTTGGGATCAGCAAACGGCATAATGGTTAGGTCTCTGGATTCCCACATGGCCAAGCATGGTTCGAGTCCTGGACCTGGAGGCTTGAAACTCACTCCAGGCACGTGTGCATATATGCCCAAACTCCTGAGAGGAGAAGAGAGAAGGAGGGATTGTGGCATGGCCCCTCCACGTCCCCAGGGTTATTTCTCACATTCTGTCTCTCTCTCTCTCTGGCAAGTACACATGCCCTATAGCAAAAATCTCTCTTGTAAAACAAAAAATTCTCCCTAAGGTAGACATAATCCTAACACTAATGAATGTTATATACTAATAAATATTATGTCTTGGAGACCAGAAGGTGACGTGGTGGTTGAGGTACTGGACACTCCCACATGGCTGACCACAGTTCGAGTCTTGGTCCTGGTGTCTTGCTTTCTCACTTTCCCTCTCTCTCTCTCTCTCTCTCTGTGTCTCCCTCTGGTCAAATTAAAATAAATGAATAAATAAAGTTAAATAAAATACTTCTTTAAATGATGAATGAATGAATGTATGTATGTTATGTCCTTCTGGGAAGTGCACATGCCGTACAGCAAAGCTAAACAAGAAGCGACAATAACAGAAAGAATGTAGATTCAAACTACTAGGTCGTTGGGAAAATCATGAGATATTCTTCTGTTTTCTATACAAAAATGTGTCATGACTTTCTTGACAACCCAGTATGTACTGTATGATGAAGGACGTTCTGAAAAAGAAAAAAACTAGGTCATAAAGCAGATGAGTGCTTTCTAGCAGTTAGAGATATGGGAGGAACTGACTACAAAAGGGCACAGTGAAACTGAGATGATGCAGTGGCTACATAATTGTATGCATTTGACAAAACTCATTAAACTGTAGGCTTAAAATGATAAATTTTACTGTAAGTAAAATTACTATAGTTGCTAATCAAATAAAGCTATTTTTAAAAAATTTATTTACTTATTTATTATCATTATTTTCCAGTCTGACCAGAGAAAGGAGAGGGAGAGAGAGAGAGAGAGAGAGGGGAAGCTGCCAAGTCCAGGACTTGAACCGTGTTAGGCCACGTGGGTTCAGTGCCTTTGACCACCACATCACCTGCTGGCCCCCAGATAAAGCTTATCTTAAAAAACGAGTTTGTGAAACAGGTGGCATGGTGGTTTAGGTACTGGACTCCCACATAGTGACTGTGGTTCAAGTCCCAGATCTGGTGGCTTGCTTTCTCTGTCTCATTTCTTTCTCTCTCTCTCTCTGGTGAATGTGCATGCCCTGTAGCAAAATTAAATAATAATAATAATAAATAAATAATTCTTAAAAAAAAAGTTTATGAAAAACTATGTGTGTGGGTTTCAAAATGTTGTTGCACTAAAATAAATTCATACTTTAATTCCATTTTTTTTTTTTTTTGGAGAGTTTTTTGCTATAGGGTATGTGTGCTCGCCAGAAAGACAGAGAGGGACAGAGAGACAGAAAGCGAGAAATCACTCCCCAGAGGGGATGGTCACGCCGCAATCCCTTCACCTCCATTCTCCTCTCGGGATCTTGGGCATGCACGCACACGCACCCGGCGTGAGTTTTAAGCCACCGGGTCCGGGACGCGAACCGCAGTCGACTACGTGGGAGTCCAGCGACACAGCCATTACGCTAAATGCTGGTTCCCTTTAATTCCACTTTTGCACAAGCTTTCTGAAGTGCTCGCCAATTTGCCGTTGCTGCATTCTTCAGAGTTCTTTTTTTTTTTTGGAGAGTTTTTTGCTATAGGGTACGTGTGCTCGCCAGAAAGACAGAGAGGGACAGAGAGACAGAAAGCGAGAAATCACCCCCCAGGGGGAATGGCCACACCACAATCCCTTCTCCTCCATTCTCCTCTCGGGATCTTGGGTACACACGCATGCACACACGACCCGCGGGAATTTAAGCCACTGGGTCTGGGACTCGAACCATGGTCAACTACATGGGAGTCCAGTGACAGTGACATAGCCATTATGCCAACTGCTGGTCCCAATAATTTTTTTTTGAGAGGTTTTTGCTATAGGGCACGTGCACTTGCCAGACAGACAGACAGAGAGACAGAAAGTGAGAAATCACCCCCCAGTGGGGATGACCAGGCCGCAATCCCTTCTCCTCCATTCTCCTCTCAGGATTTTGGGCATGCACACACACGCCCGGCGTGAGTTTAAGCCACCGGGTCTGGGACTTGAACTGCGGTCGACTACATGGGAGTCCAGTGACATAGCCATTACGCTAATTGCTGGTCCCAGTCCCAAGAATTCTTTAAAAAAAAATACTGGAGGGGCTAGCAGATGGTGTAATGGTTACATCGCTGATTCCCATGCAGTTGACTATGGTTCGAGTCCCGGACCTGGTGGCTTAAAACTCACATTGGACAAGTGTGCGTGCATATCCAAAATCCGGAGAGGAAAATGAAGGAGAGGGGACTGTGGCATGGAGATCCCCCCAGGGAGTGATTTCTCACTTTCTGTTATCTGGCAAGTGCACATGCCCTACAGCAAAAATCTCTCTAAAAACAAAAAGAAAACCAAAAAAACTGGAAAATATGGTACTATAAATATATTTATTACGATTTGATTTTCTGAATATTTTACCTTATGTTATTGATACAACAGAGTATAATACAGATACAAAACACATGTTAATTGACTGTCTATGCTACCAGTAAGGCTTCGTATCAAAGTAAGCTACTAGTAGTTAAGTTTTGGGGGAGCCAAGTTATACACAGATTTCCTTTTTCTTTTTCTGGAGAGGTTTTTGCTATAGGGCGTGTGAGTTCGCCAGAGAGACAGAGAGATAGAAAGTGAGAAATCAACCCCCCCCCGGGGGGGGTGGCCATGCCGCAATCCCTTCTCCTCCTTTCTCCTCTCAGGATCTTGGGCACCCACCCACGCACACGTGTCTGGCGTGAGTTTAAGTCACCGGGTCCGGGACTCGAACCATGGTTGACTATATGGGAGTCCAGTGACATAGCCATTACACTAACTGCTAGTCCCTGGGTTTTCTTTCTTTCTTTTTTTAAAAAAAAAGAATTATTTAATTTTATTGTTATTTTAAATTTGCTCGACAGAGACAGATAGAGAGGGAAAGTGAGAAAGCAAGCCACCAGGTCCAAACCATTGTAGGCCATGTGGGAGTCTAGCGCCCTAATGACCAATGCCACCTGCTGGCCCCACAACTCAGATTTTTAAAAATCTACATTTTGACTGATGTGGCACAGGATTCACGTGACAAAGTTTTGAAGAATTTCTTTGGAGAGTTATCTCCCACCAACCCCACTCCCCACTGTCCTTGAAAGAACTAATCTTTGGCTCCTCTAAGAGCATTTAATTATCATCAAACAGAAACCATTCAAAAATGGTAATTAATCTTCACACAAATCTATTAATTGTCATAGCTATTATTACTGTCAAAAGAGAATCCATCTTAACACTTATCAGTAAAGTTTTACACTCACTCATCAAGAAAAGTCACTAATTCCAAAAGCCCTTGGTATCCAGAATTAGCAGTATGGCCTGGATATTAATACTGGCTCAAAGGAAAAAGAATAAATAAACCCCTCACATGGGCCACTTACCTGTCATCCGGCCTTTTTGTCCCGCGCTCGTAGGCAGAGGAGGGAGGCGAGAGAGAGCCCCTTCGCTTCTTTTTCTCTTTGTTTTGAGTTTGCTTATCTGGATCTCTCTCTCGTGACCTGTTAGGAGTCTTTGGGGTAGCTGCTTGATCTCTGAAGCCGACAGCATCCCTTGCACGTTCGGTTACTAAGGGAAAAAGATTTTTAGAAAGTTTATTCGGCAGGCTTTTCTTCATCCACTGTATAGTAAAACTTCTATCCAACAGAGAGATACAGAGAGATCCAGGCTCTTCCCCTCATCTGCCCAGCCCTGGATCTGGATGTGACGCAGGGTCTGGCGTGAGCGTCCACATTACTTACTGAAGTCGCTTCCACGTGTGTCCTTTGCTTTTTCCCCGCTCAACACTCAGTTCAAGCCTTCGCTATTTCTAACAAGTTTTGTAAGCACATGCATGCGAGTTATTCCTGTCACTTCAGCAAGGCAGTTTGCTTGTCAGTTTAAAATGAGAAAGCATTCAACTGTCTCTGTGACGTTCCGTTTTTTAATTTACAGAAAAGCAGCCTGACGTGCTGAGCATAAAAACCTCAACAGGAAGTCTCTCAAAAAAATTTTAAAAAGAATTATTCAACTTTATTTATTTACTTATTTTAATTTGACCATGGAGGAACAGAGAGAGAAAGCCACCAGGTCTGGGATGCAAACCGTAGTCAGCCAAGTGGGAGTCCAATGCCCTTAGCCACCTGTTGGCCCACACAATAATTTTATTTTTTGGAGAGGTTTTTGCTATTGGGTGTGTGCACTTGCCACAAAGACAGAGAGGGACAGAGAGACAGAAAGCGAGAAATCGCCCCCAGTGGGGATGGCCACAACGCATTCCCTTCTCCATTCTCCTCTGGGATCTTGGGCATGGACACATGCCCGGCTTCAGTTTAAGCCACTGGGTCCGGGACTCGAACTGCAGTCGACTACATGGGAATCAAGCAACGTAGCCATTATACCATCTGCTGGTCTCCCAAGTAAATAATTCTTAAGGAAAAAAAAAAAAAATTTAGAGGAGAGGCCAGGAGACCAGCAGGTGGTGTGGTGTTTAAAGCACTGGACACTCCCACATGGCCAACCACAGCTTGAGTCCTAGACCTGGTGGATTGCTTTCCCTTTTCCTTTCTCTCTCTTTGTGTGCATCTCTTTGGTCAAATTAAAATAAATGGATGAATGAATAAAATTAAATAAACAATTCTTAAAAAAAAAAAAAAAGAGGCCAGCAGGTGGCCTGGTGGATTCCCACATGGCCACCTGCAGTTCACGCCTCGGACCTGGCAGCCTGAGAATCTTACAAGTGCATGTGTGTGCATGCCTGAAATTCTGAGAGGAGAATGAAGAAGGGACTGCACCATGACCATGTCCCCGGGAGGCTGATTTCTCACTCTCCCTCCTTCATCACTAAGTCCTTCTCCAGCAGTGTGCACACTGTTTGGCCAAAACCTAAAATAAAGGCACCAGCCTATAAATTATAACTAATATTATAACTAATACAGAAAAATATTTCAGACACAGGTGATAACTTGGAAAGTTATCAAAACCAGAGAAGTGTATCTTCAAGAGAATGAATGTCAGCTTCCTAATCCAAAAACCAAATGGTTAACTTGATTCACTCACGATGCTTCTCTTTACCACGGCTGGCTCTTATCCTCACACGGTCTTCACTTCCGCGGTCCCACTGCCACCACTCCCAGAGGCTGTCCTAAGTCTTACTTATCACTGACAGAACCTGAGTCGCTCATCACCCTTACAAGTGTGAATCTCACCCCTGGACATTCTGATATAAACTGGCTGGTGTGACAGACCGCAGCTTTCTGCATGTTAGTTCCGCCACCGATGAATCAAATTGCTCTCTTCTTGGGGAAAATTTCTCATGAAATGTCTTTCACAGCACAAAGATCAACATTACTGGTTTTTCTTTTTCTCTTCTCAGAAAAACACGCTATCAGTTGTTTTTCCTCCACCTTGCAGAAGGGAGAAGTTTACACAAGTCATTCTCACAGTGTTCATTTTACTTGGCTAAAAATATGCATCTTTTTTTTTTTAGAGGTTTGAATATATTTTTAGTTCAAATTGCATTTAAGATATCCTGTATTAATGGCAGTATACCCACAAAGTAGCATCTTTTTGAAGATAAAGAACTGTCTGATAAATAAAAATAATGAGGCTGCTGTATGCATGACACGAGTAAAAAAAGAGAATTTAGGGAAGTAATGGTGGTGATGGAATAATGGTCCCCAAAATGTGACACCACGACATCATACAGATGCAGATATATGCTGTTTTACTGCTACGTCAGGATACTCATCACGAGGAGACGCGGCAGATGTCTAAGCTGTTTAAAGGAAAAAGCGAAGCATGTGTTTGCATGGCGCAAAGGAATGTCCAGATAAGTTGCAAATGGAGACAAATCTGAGTATTCCCCAGGGCGAGAGGATTCAGTTAAAATCAGTTACTCACACTTATAGAGCTGACAAGTGAGCAGGAACAATGAGAAAAGTCAACGACCAAGGCTAGAATCCGGTAAGTGGGAAGGACACCCTACAGATAAACACAATTTTCCACTGAAGCAGGTCTGCTTTTCCTTAGGGCCCAGAAGGTGGTGCAGCGGTAAATGCAATGTTGCAAGGCTGACCCATAGGAGATCCCCGGCTCCGGTTAGAGACCACTTTCTTGAGTGTGACGAGCTCACGTGTGCTTGTGGTCTGGAGCTGGCTGACGTGAGGGTAGACCATGGCAGCCAGACTCTGTTGGGGATGCTGTCTCTGCCTCTCCCTCTCTGTCTGTTGGTCTTGCTTTCTGCAAACTTCTGGAAGTCAAGGGCACTCCTAAGAGGGAAGGCATGAGGGGCAGGAGAAGGTCTACTATGGGAACGCCCTGAAGGAGGGTGGAGGTCCAGCAGGCTTCTCTTCTCTCAAGGATCAAAAGGCTAAGTTGCTGGAGGAGGGTAGCACACTCTGTACCCTCCCTCCCCATGTCTGACCTCAGTGGGAGAGCAGGGCCAGGGCAGGTCACTGAGATAGTCCCACGGTGTGTCACTGGGAGAGCTGAAATTGGTGCTGGGGACTTGCAGTAGGACCCAGCGGAGGGGATCTTTGATCTAAGGGTTGACAGCCCCGCTGTACGGGCATGTGCAATTTTACGGCGTAGGTTCTTCCAAGTTTTCCAGCAGGGGCAGATGAGTCTTCATTATGGGACTGGAGGAACCTAAAGAGGCAGACGCCTGACTGGCTTGCCACAATATGTGCTGTAGGGTAGCTTCTGTGATGACATCCAGGTTCTTGGCACTTTGGACAAACAATCGAATGAAACGCACCAACAGTGAAAGGAAAGGGTAGTTTATTAAGGAGAAGTGAAAGTACACGCCCGACAGGTAAGAGCAGGTCTGAGTGCACAGAGAAAAAGTAGCTCAAAGGCCAAAATGCCATGTATCTGCAAACAGCTACTGATCGACGGCTGTCCAGGAGCACTTGTCAGTGAGAAGTTAACAGAACCCACTCCTACTGCATGGTGGTAGGAGATGCTGCACCACTTGGTTACAGCTCACAAGGTGAGCTGCTGTTGCTCAGCTTCACCTGATCCACCCACAACTTCTCTTTTTTCCGGGAGACCCAGGTTTTTCGACCTGGAGTAAAGTTCCTTAAAATGTGGCTATTTCTTCACTATTCCCTGGCAACATTTAAGCAAGGAAATCACATCAGCAGTTCATATCTGGAGGCTGCACCTTAGATGGCATGAGGCAGAGAGACCCTTCCGTTTACTTAGGCCAACTTCCTCGCATTACAAAACGGGAGGAAGCGCCTGAAGCGGGCATGCACAAGGCTGCTCCTGAGATTAAGTCACCCATCGCAGCCATCTGCACCCTCAAGAGGGGAACCCAGTCTACATCTGCAAGGGACCGATGCCCTTTCTCACAACATTTAAGCTTGCTGTATGTTGGTAATGGTTTCAACTCAGTGGGCTCAGGGAGCTGACCTTTGGTAACGAGCTCGGGAGTGGTGCCACTGGTTTTGCCAGCCCTGCCTTCTTTCTCGTGGGAAAAGTTCCTTGCAGCCCTAATAGGATATCTGGCAATAAAGTGATTAAATCAAGTAGAATTAAAAATACAAGATACTGGGCCAGTTGCAGCTTTACGGTAGACAGATGGATCCCGCATGGCCAATCACATGGTTCTAGTCCTAGACCCAGCAGCTTGAAAAACATGCTAGGTGTGTACGCCTGCGTGCTCACAATTCTGAAAGGAGGGGAAATGGAGAAGGGGCTGCAGTGTGACCATGCCTCATCAGGTTACTTTCTTGATTTCCCTGTTTCTCTCTGTGAGCACACATACTCTCTGGCAAATTAAAACAACAAACAGATAAAACAATGATGCAAAGGGTGCCTCAAGGTCTGTAACCAGTACCGTTTAACATTACAAAAACTAAGTAATGCCAAAAATAAAAAGACAAAATGGGGCCAGCAGGTGGCATGGTGGTGAAGGCTGTGGACTCCCACAGGTTTGAGTCTCAGACCTGGCAGTTGCTTCCTGGCTTTCTCTCTCTGTCTCTCTCTCTCTCCCTGTCTCTCTGCTGAGTGCACACGCCCGACGGGGGAAAAAAAATGTTTAAGTTCATATTGGCCTTTTCTACTTACACAGGCCAATGCTGGAGGCGCTCAGGAAGCCCATGGTAGCCACCATAATTGATCTCATTTCTTTAATCTTCGAAGAAGTTCACTGGAAACATAACTAAGTGGGAAAGCCCAGAAACCAGACTTCCATGTCCCTCCTTCTAGAATGATGACTCTTGACCTCTTCAGAGGTCACTGAATCTCTGAGAATCTGATGCAAGTTTCGAACTTACCCCACAAGGAGTTCTGCATACACAAATCTAAGATAAAGACTCATTCACAGATCTCCAGACTACAGGTCTAACATGTCTGCTCTAGAGGACAAATGAATGGAAGAAAAGCTACTAAAGAGCATGATTTTGGTGACCAGCAAATGGCATAATGGCTATGTCACTGAACTCCTAGGTAGTAGACAACAATCTGAGTCCCAGTTTAACCCACTGGCTTAAACTCATGCCAGGAGCATGTGAATCCGTGCCTAAGATCCTGAGAGGAGAATGGAGGAGAAGGGATTGTGGCATGGCCATCCCCCTCTGGGGGGTGATTTCTCGCTTTCTGTCTCTCCGTCTTTCTCTCTCTCTTTCTGGTGAGTGCACATGCCCTATAGCAAAATATCTCTCCAAAAAAACAAAAACATGATTTTGAAAAAAACAATAATACGGCAGCATAAAAAACATCTCCTTTGCCAAAGAGTCATGGAGAAAGGATAAAAGAGCATGTTTCTGGGGCCGGCAGTGGCATGGTGGTTAAGGGCACTGGACTCCCACATGGCCGACCGTGGTTCAAGTTCCAGACCAGGTGGCTTGCTTTTTGACTTCCCCTTTTCTCTCTGTTCCTCTTTGTCAAATTAAAATAAAGTCAAATAAAATAATTCATTTTATAATAAAATAATTCTTTTTTAAAAAAGTACATTTCCAAACTTTTATACTAAATGTTTAATTTATCCACTTACAATTTATCTAGTTGCAACAACAAAAGAGCTAAACTTCTTATACATACTTCTACATTTATCAAAAGAATGCTTGTAAAGTCATTTACACAGAGTATCTTTGAATACCTACTTGTGTTCTCCTTCTCAGTTTGACTTTTCTTTGGAATCCGATATACTTCCTGCAAAAAAAAATAAATCAGAAGCATTATTTGTAGAAGTGGTGATTGCTTTGAAGCTGACAGGTTTCGCATGGCAACAAAGAAATGGGAAGGAACGGGCTGATAATTATTCTCGCAAGTGACTTATCTTTAGCTTTAATTAACAAGAGATTTTGACCTATTAAGAAATAAAACCATAGTAAGAATGTATACGTTTCGGGGAACCAGCAGTTAGCATAATGGCTATGGACTCCCACGTAGTCGACTGCGGTTCGTGTCCCGGACCCGGTGGCTTAAAACTCCCGCCGGGCGCATGTGCCCAAAATCCCGAGAGGAGAATGGAGAAGGGATTGCGGCGTGACCATCCCCCCTGAGGGGTGATTTCTCGCTTTCTGTCTCTATGTCTCTCTCTGTCTGTCTGGCGAGTGCACGCGCCCTACAGTGAAAATCTCTCAAAAAAAAAAAAAAAAAGAATGTACACGTTTCGGATCTATGAGGTCTGTGTGATTTCACTGGCAAAGCAGCAGACTAAGTAACTGGGACATAGTACCTTACCGAGAATGTTTTCTGAAAATCTTAATTCCCATATGCTTTGTGCATACGCAGACATCCCCACATGGAGTTGAAGTCATCTACAGTTTTACTGAGAGTATTCATACTGACATTCTAACGCTTTATTTGCCACTCTTACTCAAGGGGAAAATAGGTAAGTAACAACCCAGTTATATAAAAAAATTTCAGAAAAATGGCACATGTTAAGGTAATATTTGCTATTCAGCATGTTTTTCTATAAAAACACAAAGCCAAGGAGCCGACAGCCAAGTGTAGTACCGACTCCCACTGCTACTGTTTAAAGACAGAGCACATCAGGGCCAGTGCTGCTCTTGAAAAGGCGTCTCATACATACTGTGCCCCCTTGACTCTGAGAGACAAGCTACGTGCTAAGCCTGAGGTGCCTGTTCTTACTATATGAGTCTAAGGGCTATAGAATCTATTTTATTTTCTGACAATTCTTCCCTATTCTAGCACATCAATTAGCTCTTGGGCACAATACTTTGTTATCCAGTCACCATGTTAAATGGGCCAGTGACGAACCCACAGATTCAATGGTAGATAATGTGAAATGCTCCTTTTAGAATAATTTCATGAAATTAACCACACCTGTGTGACCTGCGGATACTATTTTGGGAATGCTCTCCAAAAAAATCAGACTACGACTCTTGCCACACAACTGTTAGCTCTAGTACCATCTGGAGAACGAGAAGGGCTGGACGCTGGCCCCACGGGAAGGCCCTGGGTCTGTGTCCGGGGACCTCCAGGAGTGCACTGGGCACGTGTGTGTCCAAGGTTCAGGGTGGAGGTCACAGCATCAAGAACCGTCCAGGAGGTGCTATCTCCATCCTCCCCCCTCCGCTTGGAAGAAATAAAAAATAAGAAATAACTTACGCATCATGTAACTAAAGAAGGATCAAGATATAATATTTGGTTGCCAATAAAAATGACGAACGTGGGGACCAGCAGATGGTGTAGTGGTTAAGGTAGACTCCCATGTGGCCGACCATGGTTCGAGTCCTGAACCCACTGGCTTGCTTTCTCACTTAAAAAAAATATATTATTATTTATTTAATTGCATTTGTTATTATTATTTTAATTTGACCAAAGAGAAAGGGAAAGGGAGAAAGCAAGCCACCAGGTCCAGGTCTTGAACGGTGGTCAGTCATGTGGGAATCCAGTGCCCTTAACAACCATGCCACCACCTGCCAGCCCCTGCTTTCTCATTTTATCTCTCTTGCACAAGTGCCCTATAGGAAATTAAAAACAAAATAATGACAAATGAAATAAAAACTAATAATTCTTAAAAAAAAAAAAGTGATAAATGTGGACCACACAGGTATAGAATATACAAATGCAGATTTAAAAAAATGAAGAAGCGTATCATGCATGAAAGAAGCGCCCTTGCCAGGGCCTTGCAACATCGCCATCCCCTCTGCCCAGCCCTCTGGCTCCTCAGGATCCTGGGCAGCCAGGCACGCGCCCAGCATGTTTTAAGCCCAGGGACCTAAACCCATAGCGGGCATAGGGCTTCCACTTTACAGGGCACTTGCTCTAAGGCTGCATCACAGTGACTGGGCCTTTAAAAAAAAAAAACACCTCCAGAGCTACATGGATTCTGACAAATCTAGTAAAAAGAAGGACTGTTTAATCGTGCATGTATCCTGTGTGCCAGGTATCATGCTAAACATTTCAAGTGCATTATCTTTCCTGAGCTTTAAATTCACCCTATGAGGTATTCTCCATTTATAAGTGGGAAAACTTTCTTTTCTTTTCCTTTTCATTTTTTTTTAATCTTTTGGCTAGAAGGCATGTGCACTTGCTAGAGACAGAGAGAAGGGGAGAAGAGCAAGCACTCCCTAGGGGGAAGAGTCACATCGCGACCCCTTCTCTTTCATCACTCCCTCCTTCCAGGAACTTGGGCACATACACAAGCGTCCAGTGTGTTTCTCAAACTGTCAGGTCTGAGACTTGAACCATGTGGTCGGCCATGTGATCTGGCTGCTTTAACCACCAGGTCACACAGCTGGTCTGGAAAACTTAAAGCTTAGGTGCTTGCCCGAGGTTATGACGCTATCAGACATTCCAGTCCTTCTGAGAGGAGGCATGGTGTGGCTAACAGGAGAATGAGAATCAGCACCATCCTGAGACCAGATCGAGGTGGCATATTCCAACCCCGTGGCTTCTCCCATGTGGAAAGGCTTCCAGCAGAGCTTCGAGTGTCCCCCTGGCTGCACAGTTAGACCATCCAGTCCTTTATAGAAGTCTCTGCACGAAACTGCTCAGGAGAGTTTTCCCAAGAGTTCTTCTCTACTAGCACAAGGTATAGGAGTCCTCATCAAAAAAGGGCAACTTTGGGACCAGCAGTTAGTGTAATGACTATGTCGCTGGACTCCCATGTAGTCGACCCTGGTTCGAAGCCCGGACCCGGTGGCTTAAACTCATGCAGGGAGCGTGTGCGTGCGTGCCCAAGATCCCGAGAGGAGAATGGAGGAGAAGGGACTGCGGTGTGGCCATCCCCCTGGGAGGTGATTTCTTGCTTTCTGTCTGTTTCTGGCTAGTGCACGAGCCCTACAGCAAAAAAACCTCTCCAAAACAAAACAAAAAACAAACAAAAAGGGCAACTTTGTGAGAAGTTTGATGGGAAATCACCAGGTAATCTACTTCGCAGTCCTATTTGGCTCCTTTTTTTGGTCTCTAATCTTAAAAACCAAAAGAGGCAGAAATGGAGAAGGGATTGCGGCATGGCCACCCCCCATTTCTCACTTTCTCTATGTCTGGCTAGCACATGTGCCCTCTAGCAAAATTTAAAAAGTAATAATGGGGGCCAGCAGGTGGCATGGTGGTTAAGGCACTGGACTCCCACTTGGCCCTTTGTAATTCAAGCCCCAGACCAGCTTTCTCGCTCCTCCCCCCAGCCTCCAATTTGGTGAGCACATATGGCCAGTAGCAAGTTAGGAGGGGGAAAAATAAATAAATAATTTTTTAAAGTGACAATGGGAAAAAAAAAAAGACTACATTGACATGGTTAAGCTCCTGTGACCTTCAGTTCCTTAGACATGGACTAAATAGCTGGTGTCATCACCTACAAAAGCACCCTGAATTTGATGGTGCTTATGTTGAGAACAAAGTTTGTATTTCTCGATTCCCACAAACTTTCTGAAGTCCTTTCTTACGACCCTCTTACTTCTTTAGTGTCTAAAGAAGTTTGGTGACATTAACATATACACTCGCACAAACTCAAGCTACAATTGTTATGGGCCAAGACTGTCTTATTCTTTGCTGAATCTCTAGCACCCAAGCCAGTGTCTGGCATGTAATTTACAACTGCTTGTTCGATAGGGGTTGTTCCGCAAGCTCCTGGTGCTGCATACACCCACGCTTTCTATCACCACACCGTTAGCCTCTTCGTCCTATGTCCCTGGAAAGTGCTATTTAAAGGCCTCACCTATACCCCAAAACACTCTGTTTCAAAGATCAGAGTAAGAAATGTGTCTCTGCAACATTTTAAACTCTTTTCAATGCTTGAAACAGTCTGCCTTTGGAAAATCTCCTTCCCTTTAGTCAAAGGATAAAATCAAGCTTCAGATGGTTTGTTAAACACTGACTCACTGATTCGCTCATTAACATTCTTCTACTTAACTTTGTCAACATAAAGTTCGTGGAGATGTTTGTAATAAGCAAACACAAAGACGCATGAGTTCTATGGTGGTTGTGTTACTTGTCAAACTGTGGTTTGCCATCTCCATAACAAGACTTGGGTATCAAGTATGCCAAAAGCACCTGGAAAGGTTCTACGTTCTAGATGCTTGAGATGTCCCCCATCAAGGAGTTCACCAACTAAGTAAGGATGGCCGAGACCTCTGGTTCTAAGCCAGGTTATTTAGGCACACAGTTGGCCCTTGGACAACAAGGACACTGGGACTCTGGCCACCCCACCTGCAATGGTCACAATCTACATATAAAACTGCCAGAGGGAATGTATGAGGCAGAGAGAGAAAGAGAAGCACAACAGTTCCCCCTAATGGGCACAGACATGCTGCCATCTTCCCCCCCATTCCCCCACTCCATCAGGATTTAGGGCACACATGCACACAACACTGCCATGTTTCCCAAGCCACAGAGGGCCAAAGTTGAAACGCAGTCACGTGGGATTCAGCCTCCTACTGACTGTCGTATAGGGTTGGCCCCGTATATAACTTGACATCCCCAAAACATTAACTACATTAAGACATTAATAGCCTACATTGACAAGACGCCTTGCCTGTAACATACAATTAACACATATTTTGTATGTTATATGTATTACATGTTATAGACTTAAAATGAAGTAAAAAGTTGGAGAAAATAAGAAAATCACAAGGAAGAGAAACTATACTTTAAGTACTGTACTGCATTTTCCAATGTATTTATTGACAAAGAAACCTGGCCAGCTGGTGGCATGGTTGTTAAGGTAGGTAGCTGGATTC